TCAGTGGCTCAGTCAGTGGCTCAGTCAGTTGCTCAGTCGGTCAGACAGTCACTCAGTCAGTCAGTCAGTCACTCAGTCAGTCACTCACTCAGTCACTCGGTCAGTTAGTCAGTCAGTGGCTCAGTCAGTCACTCAGTCAGTGGCTCAGTCAGTGGCTCAGTCAGTCAGTCACTCACTCAGTCGCTCGCTCAGTCAGTGGCTCAGTCAGTGGCTCAGTCAGTGGCTCAGTCAGTCACTCAGTCAGTGGCTCAGTCAGTGGCTCAGTCAGTCAGTCACTCACTCAGTCGCTCGCTCAGTCAGTGGCTCAGTCAGTGGCTCAGTCAGTGGCTCAGTCGGTCAGGCAGTCAGTCAGTCAGTCAGTGGCTCAGTCAGTCACTCAGTCAGTCACTCAGTCAGTCACTCAGTCACTCAGTCAGTTAGTCAGTCAGTCACGCAGTCAGTCACTCAATCAGTCACTCAGTCAGTCAGTCAGTCGCTCAGCCAGTCACTCAGTCAGTCAGCCAGTCAGTCACTCACTCAGTCACTCACTCGCTCAGTCAGTCGCTCAGTCACTCAGTAGCTCACTCAAACACTCGTTCAGTCAGTAGCTCACTCACTCGCTCGGTCAGTCGCTTGCTCACTCACTCAGTCAGTCAGTCGCTCAGTCAGTCAGTCACTCAGCCAGTCACTCAGTCAGTCAGTCGCTCAGTCAGTCGCTCAGTCACTCAGTCACTCAGTCAGTCAGTTAGTCAGTCACTCACTCACCCACCCACTCATTCACTTACTCACTCGCCCACTCGCTCAGTCAGTCAGTCACTCAGTCACTCGCTCAGTCAGTCACTCAGTCAGTCAGTAGCTCGCTCAGCCAGTCACTCAGTCAGTCACTCAGTCAGTCACTCAGTCAGTCAGTCACTCAGTCAGTCAGTCGCTCACTCAGCCAATCACTCAGCCAGTCACTCACTCAATCAGTCGCTCACTCACTCACTCAGTCACTCGCTCAGTCAGTCGCTCACTCAATCAGTTGCTCACTCAGTCAGTCACTCACTAAATCGCTCACCCACCCACCCTTCTATCTGGCAACACAACTGAGGGCAAGGATGACCGAGTGACCGACTGTGAACAAACAAAAGACTCCGTTGGTAGCTAACTAACGTTAAAAAGGCGGCAGTTTTGTTGCCAGATAAAAGGGATAAAACTACAACAATCATCGATGGCTACATTTCGACTCAAAGCTTTTTTGTCACTTGCAAGGGATTCATATTCTTGGTTCTTTCGGTTAAAGTCACCACTACGTGGAAGGGAAACGATAAAATTAATCAATAAAAAAAATATATCTAAAACGATAAAAAAATTGGGTTTTTTTTTAAACAATAAAAATATATATTGTTTTATTTTTATTGGTTTATATTTTTATTATTTTATCGGTTCAGAGGGTTTTTTTGTTATTTTATTATTTATTGTTTCCGCTTCTCCGTGACTTTACCGAAAGAACCAATTATCAATGGATGTATTGTCAGTGTGTGTTTTTTATTTTAATTTTCGTTATGACCACAAGTCTACGCGGTTAGTGCAGACACGATTACCTTGTGAAAGGTTTCAGTTTGGTGTTTTAACATCTTAACACAGTGATGTTTTAATATCTTAACACAGAGACGTTTTAGTGCCAGGGAAAAAATGGTTCCCGCCCCTTCCTGTCTAGTCCCCTCCTCTTCCTGTCTAGTCCCCGCCCTCTTCCTGTCTAGTCCCCTCCTCTTCCTGTCTAGTCCCTACCCTCTTCCTGTCTAGTCTCCTCCTCTTCCTGTCTAGTCCCCCCTCTTCCTGTCTAGTCCCTGCCCCTTCATGTCTAGTCTCTTCCTGTCTAGTCACCTTCCTGTCTAGTCCCCTCCTCTTCCTGTCTAGTCCCCGCCCCCTTCCTGTCTAGTCCCCTCCTCTTCCTGTCTAGTCTCCTCCTCTTCCTGTCTAGTCCCCTCCTCTTCCTGTCTAGTCCCCTCCTCTTCCTGTCTAGTCCCCTCCTCTTCCTGTCTAGTCCCCTCCTCTTCCTGTCTAGTCCCTTCCTCTTCCTGTCTAGTCCCCTCCTCTTCCTGTCTAGTCCCCTCCTCTTCCTGTCTAGTCCCCTCCTCTTCCTGTCTAGTCCCCTCCTCTTCCTGTCTAGTCCCCTCCTCTTCCTGTATAGTCCCGCCCCCTTCCTGTCTAGTCCCCTCTTCCTGTCTAGTCTCCTCTTCCTGTCTAGTCCCCTCCTCTTCCTGTCTAGTCCCGCCCCCTTCCTGTCTAGTCCCCTCCTCTTCCTGTCTAGTCCCCTCTTCTTCTTGTCTAGTCCCCTCCTCTTCCTGTCTAGTCCCTGCCCCCTTCCTGTCTAGTCCCTCCTCTTCCTGTCTAGTCCCCTCCTCTTCCTGTCTAGTCCCCTCCTCTTCCTGTCTAGTCCCCTCCTCTTCCTGTCTAGTCTCCTCTTCCTGTCTAGTCCCGCCCCCTTCCTGTCTAGTCCCCTCCTCTTCCTGTCTAGTCCCCTCCTCTTCCTGTCTAG